CCAACTCCACAGATGTCAGGAAATGGTTTTTAAAACCCTGGTGGCCTGAGCCACCTGCTTGAAGCAGATAGCACAGGTGCAGAAAATGAGCTGCCGTCTGAAAAACGCAGCCAGTTGCCGAGCCTTCCCTGGTGAGACAGCAACAGCTCCAGCGGAGAGCTACAGAGCATGTGAACACCTCCATGCACTCGGATTGAAGCTCTGTTTTCACAGGTGATAAAATACCTCTCAAAATTCTTAAAGGATCATATTCTTAATAACCAAAGGTAGAGATTACCTTAGTCTTTTTCCCAACTTAAAAAAAAAAAACTCCCTCTAGAATTTATTTTAGAAAATACATAAAGATACAAAGAACAAAATAAATGTCGCTGATCTCTTGACTGATCCACGCATATATTTTTGCAAAACAAAATTAGGTATGGCGTGGTGACATGACACGGTGACAAATCCATAATGACGGTCCCCTTTTGGCTTCTTGCTCTTTGCTTGCTTGCTCGCACACGTGGTTGCTTGAGATAAAGTCTTACTGTGTAGCCCACACTGACCTCAAACTCATGACAAGCCTCCTGACTTAGCCTTCCAGGTGCTACAATCAGACTGTAACTATAATCAGGTGCAACAGGTGACGCTCACTGAAGTCCCCGAGCTCTGGTCTTCCTGCCACCCAGAGCTCACACAGTCAGTCAGCATCTATCTTTATCATCGTTTCTCATGGCTGATCCCGCACACACATTGCCAGCCCTCTGGAAAAAGTGCTCACCTGTCATACAGTTTTCACACCATTCCGACAGGCCTCCATCCCCTCCCCTCCCTCCATGAACGCCTGAGGCGCTCCAGCTCAGCTGTGTCTCTGGGTGACACATGACGTGACTGACCTTCTCGAATGTCTTCCTTTCCGTAAGAACACGTCATCTTGTACCTTCCTGAGTATCCGTGTCTTCCACCTCCCTTCTCCTTTTATATTCTCCTACCTGTCCTTACAAAGTCCCCAAGGATTTTTTTTTTTAATTGCTTGTTTACTTATAAGACAGTGCCTCAAACTAGACATCCTCCTGCCTCAGCCTCTTTGGTGCTGGGATTGCATATACCATGACAGCCAACACCCAGAGTATAAAATTATTTAGATAATTTCCACTCTTTTTAAGTAGCCAAAAAAAAAATTACCCATGTTTTAAAATTAGGTATACCTTGCCAAGAATAGGGGTTCACAGTTTTAGTCAGAGCAGTTGGGAGGCAGAGGCAGGAGGATCTCTGTGAGTCTGAGTCCAGGATGGCCAGAGTTACACAGTGAGATCCTGCCCTGAAAAAGAAACAAAATAAAACTGAGGTATAACAACTGCTTAGAAAATGCAGCTGCCTACAATGGCTACCTACCTCTATTAAGGTATCTCTTTTCTTGTTCTCTCTATTCATCCCCCAATTCATTTTCCTGATCCCTCATAGGTTTAAAGAGAAATCTGGCACTAGGGAAATGTCCAGAGATCCACAAGGATGACCCCAACTAACAATCTGAGCAATAGTGGAGAGGCCACCTTCTCTGATAATGAGATTGATAACCACCTTATGTGCTATCCTAGATCCTTCATCCAGTAGCTGATGGAAACAGAAGCAGAGATTCACAGCTAAACACTGAGCCAAACTCCTGGAATCCAGTTGTAGAGAGGAAGGAGGGATGAGCAAAGGGGTCAAGACCATGCTGGGGAAACCCACAGAAACAGCTGACCTGAACAAGTGGGAGCTCATAGACCCCAGACTGACAGTTGGGGAACCATATTGGACCAAAATAAACCCCCCTGAATATGGATGTCAGATAGGAGGCCTGGGCAGTCTATGGGGCCTCTTGTGGTGGAACCAGTATTAATTCCTAGAACATGAATGGACTTTGGGAGTCCATTCCCTATGGAGGGAAACTCTTTCAGCCTAAAGTCACAGGGGAGGGCCTAGGCCCTGCCCCAAATGGTGTGACAGACTTTGGGGAGTGGATGGGGGTGGGATGAGGAAGGGGTTGGTGAGGGGCATGGGAAGGTGGGAGGGAGAGGGAACTGGGACTGATATGTGAAATAAGATTGTTTCTAATTTAAATCACACACACACATGAAAATGCAGCGACCATTTCTTTGTGAGACTAACCATGATTGGCTAGCTTATTTCATTTCTAGACATCTAAATGCTCCTGTATCAATGGTTCTCAAAGTCTGGTTTCTAGAATCTTGAATTTACTGGGAGTGATTCAAATGGAACATTCTTGGCCCCCTCCTCAAAACCTACTGAGTCAGCAACATGGGATCTCCTGAAGGTTCCAGAAGATTCTAGAGATGCCATTCTAGAGCCATTACTTTTGAAGTAAGGTGTTAGGAAGCATCTATACGCTGTGGCGTTGCCTTTGTAGATCCTCCACCTGTATCTAAATATCCCTCCAAAAGGAAGAATAAAACAGGGTAGGAACAGAAGCATCCTTCCAAATTGCCTCTTACCAGAAATGACAGTCGAGTCAGGCTATCATCAGAGTTGTCCTAAAATTATTGCTTGCCTAGTGATGTTCTCTCTCTCTCTCTCTCTCTCTCTCTCTCTCTCTCTCTCTCTCTCTGTGTGTGTGTGTGTGTGTGTGTGTGTGTGTGTGTGTGTTCATCTGTGCCATCACAGAAACCATACATGTCCAATTCATCAAAATTTCTGGTTTTAAGGCTTCTGGTTTTTGCAATCACATTGCACACCAATAGGCCCAGCACTAACAGATGAGGTGTGTATGCACGGAGGGGGGTGGCTCTTAAGAGCTACTGCCCTGTAGGAACAGAAGACCTGTTACTTGATCCTTGAATCCATCCACCTACCCACGAAGCCACCCTCCACCTAACCCATCCTTCCAGGCTTCCATCTGTCCATCTACCCATTGACATCCCTCCACATCTACCATTTATTGGTCTATTTATTCATCTATCCATTGCAGAAATATATATTTTTTAATCAAGTTAATTTTTCTCTTATCAGATACCACTGATGTATGTCGTTTTCTTTTTTCCTTAGTGCATCTAAGAATGGCCCATTGAATTGTGACATCTGCCTGCCTCTGCCTCCCGAGTGCTGGGATTAAGGACGTGCGCCAATGCCAGCTGACAAGTCCACTCTTACTTGATTTTATTTGCTATGGTCACACTGCAGGTTACTGCAGACTCGGAAACAAAGGCCAGGCCTGCCCAGTCTCGCTCTTCCCCTCAAGGAGAACTGAACCAGAGGCTTGGACTTCAAGCCACTTCACTCCCTCAGGGGACACCTTGAAACTTGGTTGACAGAGGTGATAGTGTAGATGTTCAGTGGTTTATATTATTAAAACAGTAAGAATGCAAATACCCTTTTAAAATATAACTTTGTATCTCACTCACATCTAATTTCTAGTACCTAAAGCAAACTCAAATAAGTTGAGTTTTTTTTAATGCACAGATGCTATTTCCCTAATGTTGTATCAATTCATTTCAATGGTTCTGTAATTTGTCTACAAGGCTGAGTTACATCTGCCATTCTGGGGTGTGGTCCTTGCATGTTTCAATGTGGAGGTTTCTCTCTTCTTCCAGGGGTGCTGAAAGATCTACCGTTGTTCTCATCTTAAAAGGTATATCTACTTTCAAAAATGTTAGGAAATAAATGAAACTTAGATGCTAACATTGATTATGAGTAAGAACACAAGGAGACGAATAAACTGAGATAATGGGGTGGTGTTAGAAGATCTATAACCACCAGGCAGTTAGTTAACAATAGAGTGAGACAGTTATTAGAATTTCTCCCTGGAATTGGGAATAGAGGCTGTTCAGTGGAATTTTTTCTAACCTCAAAAAAGTAAAACAAGGTACGTGCTGAGTTCAGTATTTGAGTGACAGTGAAAAAGCCATCACTTAGCAACCCAGCTACCAATGTTCCAAGCCTTAACTCTACACTTAACATTCCAAAACGTGGTTTAGAAAGAGAGGCAGAGACACAGAGACAAAGATAGAAACAGAGAGAAGGAAGGAGGCGGAGGAAAAAGTAAGTAAATCTCAGGAAAATGGATGCAAATAGGGACCCACATTTCTGGATACAGAAATGCTCTGCCTGCACCATGTTGATGGGAGAAACGAATCTGTGGTATAAAATTCAATTGAAGGGCTCTGATGTGAATTAGCTCTCATATTAGTTGAGTAAAATTTGAAAGGAAACCAGTTGATATGGAACAGCTGTGCCATTTTTATTGAACAATAATCAGTTGCTCTTCAACAAATAAAAGAACCCAACAGCTGATTCTGCTTACATTCAAGGATCTTCAATACATTCACAACTCTGTTGGCGAACTTTGAGAATAAAATATAAGTAAATAATGAAATAATTCTTAAATAAGATCTTCACGGCAAATAAAATACTTTTGCAAATATTTCCCAGCATCACCTAGTGCTACAGCCCTTTTTGTGCGAAGGTCCTCCTGTATATAAACCCAGACCCATTCATCTACCAAGTGTGAAAGGATTAAAAAAAGTGAAAATAAACAATATCTTAAAATCAATACTTTCCCTCACAAAGACTAACTCTCCTTTCCAAAACTGTCTAAAGTTATCTTCTGATTTAAATTCAAATTTCACCCAAGACGCAGCATTAGCTTTTCAATATTTTATAAGCCTATATTAACTACGTGTTCATTAATATTAATTAAATCATTAGTAACAAGTTTTCCATATATGGGTATTTGAGAACCATATATGTTATATACTTTCCCCCCTAATCATTTTAAACAACATTAGGGTCATTTCTCTAACATTTGGGAGAAGTATGGGTGTTGGAGAAATATTTAAACTAACAGATTTGTTTATAAAAAAAATACATAAATAATCACCTTCGCCCTGTTCTGTCCCTCAGGAGGCAGACTGCTTCCTAGATCTCTCAAGGCCCACAGCGCTTAAGCCAGTAGTGGGAGTATATATTCATCCTCTGTCCGGTCCCCCCCCATCTTACCTCCCACCTCCATGAGGTGCAGGCAGCGTAATAACAACATTTCCATGCATGGCAGCTGCTCCCACCAGCTTCCAATATCTTACTTCCTTCAAGGCTTTTCTGGTCTTGTTTCCCCAGATTAAAACAAAATAATAAATTTTAAGCTGCCACAAGGAAGAACTAAATGGTATTAACCCCAACTTCTGCTACCTCATCTTCTTTCTTCAACCTGTACATTCAACAAGAATGTATACCCAAGTCAAAGGACACATGGTTTCTCCAGCTTTGATCAGATTACTCATTAACCATAAGACCATCTCAATTGCACGTTTAGCCCCTTGGTGACATCTCCCACACACTCACACGCACATTTAACAGATCTATATGCATTTAAAGATTTAACATATATCTAAAAGTATTCAGTCATATTGTTTTATGGGTTGAATATCGCCTATATTTTTTTTTTTTTTTTTTTTGGATCCTCTCTCAATCACTCTTGATCTCCATCAAGTACATGTCCATAGTCTCTGCTCTAGACAGCTCTTAAAATGTTGGTTGAGTGTTGGTCATTGAAGTGGAGCCCGGATCAGCGTGGATTTAACCATTTCATTACAGACGGCCGAGCGACGTTGCCTTCAGCGATCTCTTCTCTCACAGCATTGCCATCCCCAGACGCCGCGTCACGCTCTGAAAGTAGAGGGGCACACAAGTCATGTCCAGACATCTATAAGTTAAAGGCCAAGCATGGGTTTGCTTTATTTTGGTTTTGTCTTTTAATGAAATTTAAAATAAGGTGATTCAAGATTCTCTGCTAACTCTACTTAACAGCTCTGAACTGCTCTTCCAGTGAAGACAATGCCCTTTGCAACATTTCTCTCTATACCTACCATCACCCATCCTCTGTATGCATGTAGCTCTTCTCTCCCTGGCGTTATCTCTCTCTGTTCCTAGAATTCCAGCTTAATAAAAGCAGGGCTTTCTTTCACTTGCTGTTTCCTCCACTTGTTCACCCGTACCCCCAACATGGATAGCAATGCTTGGAACATGATAGATGCTCAATACATGCCCAGTGAATGACCAAATGCTGCACAAATTGATCTCTTAAAAAGACTTTTATGTGACTGGGACAATATATGAGGCCATTGGCAATGGGTCCAAGATCTAACACCAATTCACAAACTGACTCTGTGGAGCCCATTCTGTATGGAGAGACACCTTACTCAGCCTAGACACAGGGGTGTGGGGGTGGAGAGGCGCCTTGGTCCTGCCTCAACGACATTATGGGACAGACTTAGTAGGCTTCCTAGAGGAGGCCTTTCCCTCTCTGAGGAGCAATTGGGAGGTGGGAGGGAGTGGGGGGAACAGGAAGAGAGGAGGGAGGGGGAACCGGGATTGTAATGTAAAAAATAAATTTAAAAAATTTTAAAGGAATGTATAAGAAAAAAAGATTTTTATATTCACTGGCATAAAAATGATTTCACTTTTTGGTATAACTCTGGAAGGCATCTATCCTTCTGTTCTTTATGCAAGAAAGGTTTATAAGGTTTAGAATTTTCTAAAGGGAACTATTGTGCTTCTAAGAGGAGTGAGACATGCTTGTGTCCACAGGGTAGGTTCTAGAATAGAATGGTGAAAGATTAGTGTGTCCTGACAAACAAACGGGTATAGAGCATTCTTAGGCCTCACCCACTCATTAAAAAATGGGACTCGTTAATTCCTATTATTGGGCACTGACTGCCAAAAAAGAATAAAGACTTAAAACGGAGGCAGGTAGGATCAGTGACTCCACCTGCCATCAGCAGGTAGCAAGTTGAAGAAGACCCCATGTAATTGGTGGACCTGAGACAATTCGTCTGCTCTCAAGTGGTGGGCTCAGATGGGTGTGTGCGGTGGTAATGTGTGAAGCCTTTGGCAGAACTAGGGGGCCGTGTTTCCCCTGCGGACTCCAAGACACACACAGGCAAATCCCATGTAGACAAGGCACAGCCAAACAGGGCAGCCAGTTTATACTTTTCAGACATTCTTCATCCCCTCTTGAACCTGAGGTTGACAAAGATTACTTGAGTAAATGTCTTTTTAATAACACCAATACAAAAAGAAAAAAAAACAAACTGATTTTATTTTATGTTTCTAGTTGGAATCTCCATACCTAGTTTTGATTAGAAATATTGTTGTGTGTGTAACTTAATATATAGTGAACATCCAGTGGCAGAATAACTTTATAAGACTTCTATATAGTAGCCAAGAATTTGGTATCTGACTTAATGTTTAAAAAGAAAAAGAAAAGATAAAAGAAGCTAAAAATGCTTGAGATGGCTAGGGAAACAGAGAAAATAGATCTCAAATCTGTTCTGTAAACAGCTCCTTTGAAGAATTTCCAGACCCGAGAGACAGCTTGGTCGTCTCCATTGATAGATTCCAGGGACTGGGAGAATGGGGGGAGGCGTCGGGCAGTGAGTACTGTGCTAATCAAAAGGTTCTGGAACTAGATGGAGGCCATGGTTATGTAATACTAGATATGCTCAGGACCCTAATGGGTTTTGTCTTCCAGTGTTATATGAAAACCATATAAACAACTAGTCAAGTCTTAAGCCCCCATTTTTTGCTTTGCCAAAGACTACAAAGATAAGTCACATGATTTCATCTGTTGTCTTAGCCTCCAGATTATTGTCCACAAAGATATTCATCTAATAAGTTAAGATTGAACACACAAGACCAGAGTCATACTCAAAACTGCCAGTTGACTTAAAAAGCACAATATCTGAAGACGGTAACAGGAGAAATTAGCACATTTGCTGAATTTCACACTTTAGTTAATTTCAATGGCAAAGGGCCAGAAACACAACCTAAATCAAATTGATCTGAGTGACTATGTTCTATCTGGAGGAGGTAGAGTGTATTGATTAATGAGTAGTTGTTGTAGCTAAATCTTGAGGGCTTACCAGTGAAGGCTCTTTCTCTCCAAATGCCTCTAATAACTGTATGTCATGAACCTTGCCTTTTAATTTTATTTAGCTATGAATGGAACAGTGTGTGAGTATTTTACCGTAGAAGCAAGAGACTGCTCTGAAGCTGAAGTTACAGGCGGTTATAAACTGCCTGGTGTGGATGCTAGGGATCGAACTTAGGACCTCTGGAAGAGCAATGCAGTCTGTTAGCCACTAAGCCATCTCCCCAGCCCCAAGAGTGCAGGGGTTTTAATTAACTTTTAAGCGTGGATATAATTTGATTGTAAAGTGATTAGATTAATGAAATTAACATATCCATCACCTCAATACTTACAGTTTTTCATATTTTAAATCTAGTCTTTTAACAGTTTTGAAACATATAACACATCATCATTACCATTCATTCTGTTCACTGGCAGAATAAGCTCTAATGACAGAAGTCATTACACGTATCGATTTCATTTGGTATAGTCATGTTACATGAGCACGCCTAGCACCACCTCACAGCTGTGCACGGCTCGAGGCCGCGCAGCTTCTCACAGCAGCACCTAAGCATTGCTCCCGTTCTACTATTCCCAGGGTCTCACACGGGGATTCATTTCTACCAGCTCCAAAATCCATGGAAACACAATTTTTCCATTGTATTGCTTCCACTTGATGAAGGAAGAGGGGAGGGAGGGAGAGGAGGGGTATGTTCTGTATCGTTTCTCGTAACTCTTAAAGCGGATCCAACAACTACCTCACTGCCTTCTTTCTCTGTGGAGTTGGGAGGGAAATCGTTTTGTCTAGCGAGTCTATAAAAACATCGTCAACGAGTTCCAAGAACTTCGCACGTCTTGGTTGCTTTTTATGGAAGATTTGTCTTCGTTAATTCATTAAAGTGTAATAAACTTTATGAGAAACCCTAGCAACCTCAGAATTGTCAATGAGATTTGTCTTGAAAATAGCAACAGCCACCAAACTCAACCACTGCCCATCTCTCCCCCAAGGGAAACAAAGAAACAAGCTCATTCAGATAGACACCACATTTACTGGTTTTCCCATCCGTTTGAACTGAGATTAAGGCCACCACTTACCTGTGTGCGAGGCGGCAGTCCTGCTGGGCGACTTGGCTGCTGCATGCTGGAAGAAGGGAAACTCCAGACATCTCCCGGTCACCCTGTCACATATGCCCGACTGGCAGTTGCAAATCTCTTTGCACTCCATCCCAAAAGTGCCATAGGGACAGTCTGCAGGCAGAGTGGGGCTTAGAGAGACCACTGCTTGTTAAGCATGAGACTCCTCCCTCCCAGCCCTGATAAAAGCAAATCACTCCTCAAAAGCCCCAGAGTTTGAAAATTGAGGTCATAAATGTGAAAGCACAGGGTAAGGCCAGATAACACCTGCCTCCGGCTTAAGTTCCTGATGCAAAGCCTAAGTTAACAACGTGTAACCAATGGCCTTATGCTAGACTTCTGAACCACTTTCTTTACCTGCTTGTTTATTCAGAGAGTGTGAGTGTAGGCATGTGTACATGCATGTGTTTATGTGCTCTTGTGTTTGTGTGTGCATGTGCATATGCATGTCTGTGTGTGTACATGAATGCTCGTGTGTGTGTGTGTGTGTGTGTGTGTGTGTGTGTGTGGCGCATGTGTGGAAGTCACAGCACAACTTGAGTTGGTTCTCTCCTTGCGTGTGGGCCATGAGGCTCACACTTGGGTGTTCATGATTGACAGCAGGTGCCTTTACCCACTGGGCTTCTTGCCAACCACACCCTTAATTCTTTTTGTTTCCTGGGTAGATAACAGGTTATCTTGATCACAGGTTATCTTGATCACAGCTCAGTGAAGATGGGAAATTAAAGAGACATAAGCATTACCTCCTCAAATAGTTTGGTAGCTGTGTGTCTTTAATCTACAGTGGTTGACAGTTTACTGTTTTTCAGGGCTAAGAGGCCCTCTGACTGTAAAATACCCAGTTCCAGTCTGCTCCCACACTTACAAAGCTCCTTATCTCTCGGGGCAGCACTAGGCCTCCACCAGCTCTCCCCCCCCCCCCCCCAGCTCTTAAGAGGGATTCACTAATCAAGCTCTCAGAAAAGATAAGATGCTAAGTGAGCAAGAAAACTTGGCTTCACATGCCCGAGGACTCACACACCTACCAAGTACGAGAAGCTTTCAGTGTATAATACTTAGACTGAGAAATGCTACAACAAAATAAAGATGTCTGTCTCATTAAAAGAGCAGGGTTTGTGGTATAACAGTATCTCAGGAGTTAACTCAACAACATCCAGATACAACACTCGCTCTCAACCCGTGGGTCACGGCCACTTTGGCAAACCTCCATTTCCAAAAATATTTGCATTATAATTCATAACAGTAGCAAAACTACAGTTATGAAGCAATGAATATACTTTCTACAGCTGGGGGTCGGCGCAGCACGAGGAACTGTAGTAAAGCATCCAAGCATTAGGAAGGTTGGGGACCTTCGTAGGCTGTATTCCTTCAGCATGGAGATGTCCTTGCTGATGTACAATCGCTCGGGCATAAAGACAAGGCGCTGGTGTTCTGCCGCCCAGCAGTGCCTCATGATCAAGGTGGATGTGCATAAATAGGTCTTGAAGCAGGAAACACTGTTCTTTCCCTGTTGCTCAAAAGATGGAGCGCTCTGCCGCTATACACCCCGTCACCCTGGGAAGAAAGTCCCTAAGAAAGACCTGGAAAACTCTTCTGGCAGAAAATCACAGGGTAAGGATGTGACTGTCTTCAGCAATACTGAAAATGAAAACCTTAACCCCCTTCCCAGTTCCAGGTCCAGGGTGGCCCCCCGGTGTGCCGTGTGCCAATCAGATAGTAAACATTCTATAAATAAATGCTGACTTCCCAATAGATAGCCAGCAACTTGGGGCCAAGCATCTAAATGCTGACCAAAACAAGACAAAAAATCTGGAATTCACCTGCCGAAATGGATAACACCCCACACACTCTATTATTCCAAGCATTTTTTAAAAAAATTGGAAACTGAACTCACCAGCAATGCAGAGGATGCCAGAAAGAGCAATTCAAAATAGATTGTTAATGGCAGGCATAGTTCACTAACCTGTGCCCCAGAGCTGGATTCTTTACCCCATGTCACTGTCCATTCATAACCGCAATTCCAAAGGTGTTTCCATGCCAAAGGAAAAGCAGTTCCCCCCTACACACACACATATACTGGCTATATCATAGACAGGACTGGGTTAAACACCTCCTCCCCAATTTCCTTATGTGAGGTGCTGCTTTCTTGGCAGATAAGCCCTGTAATAGCCACAAAATACAGAGCCTATTCGGTTGAAAGAAATGTGTATATGTATGCTCACCAAAATAAAGTATTTCCTCAGCAGCTCACCTCTTGTCAGTCTTAACCAAAAATAATGTAAGCAAAGAATAAAAATCTCCATGGTTTTTCTGGAATTTCTTTCCAAGGCTTCCATTGGTTTTACAGACAAAAAAGATGGTCAATTTATAAGCTATTCTCTAAAATGAGAACTAATGACATTGTCTCAGTTCTGGGTGATGGCCATTCAGGGGAAGATGGAATTATATTAAGCACATAGAATATGAGTTATGTAGAAATTCCTCAGAACTTCTTTTCTGATTTGGGTGGCTTCTTTGTGTTATATAAACTGCATTGTCTTTTAATCACAATAGAATGTAATGATGAGATTATATGGCATGTATGTATGGGAGACTTTTTAATGACCACTTTTTTGTGGTATTTATTAGCACTTATTTGTGATATTCACAAATATCAATTTCTTCACTAAGTTTGAAGATAAGTTCCACAGATACATCAATGAGTCATTTAGTTATGGTCCCTGTCTTGATTATCATTTTATTTTTTAAATCTATAAAACAGCTCCTTTTAATAGACTTCTATTATTTCTGCTAGTCTTACAACATCTGCTGTTCTCTGGCTAACTGAAGATTTTTTTTTTCAAGTAAAATTAGGTTTATTTTGTTCTTCAGGGGACCCTCTTGCATGAACCTGAGTTATTTCGTTGGCTGACTTTAGCCCGTGTTAGTGTTCAACAGAAATATTTGAGCTCGAGAGGGGCACTCCTCCCTGGGAACTCTTTCCCAGATCAAAGGCTGGTGAAATCTGGGGCTAGAAACCACTCTAAGAGGTTATCTCTGGAGGACCTCTGTAATCAACCGCTTGGGAAGAAAGGACACCTAAACCATCTGAAACAGACTACCTGCCAAGTTTCTAAAGGCTTCCAGAAAAGGAAACCGCACAAGCGACCTCTGCAACTTTCTCGGATCTGAGTGCGGGTGGAATGTTGCAGCCCCTGCTGTGATTCCTGCCCACTGCATCCCAAACCTTTCTGCAGCTAAGCTTCTCTCTACCAAACACACCTCCCGCATCTGCGCATCCTCCCTGGTAGTTCAGAGGAGGAAAGAGGAGGACCTGTACCTCCCAAGCAGACAAAATGCCCCTCGGGGAGCCCTGCGCAGTGGGAAGCAAGGGGTTGCTCTTTACCTTTGCAGATACCAAACTCGTCACCAAAATCATCCTCTTCACTGTAAAAGTGACACTTCAGCCCCGGACCACACTTGACGCCATCCATGCCTGAGACGGTGCGGTAGCAGGGTTTCTCCGGGTCCGGCTGCACACACATGACAGCAGCCACAGTCATCCAGCACTGTCCTCTTGCAACGCAGGCTGCCTCTGCATTCACTATTGTCACAGTGTTCTGGGCAATCCACTGCATACTTGGCGCTCCAGGCCATAGCCAGGTGCACAGGTAGGAAGAATGTGGTCAGCAGTAAGAGGCTCTTCATGTCTCCCAGCAGGCTCCGGCTCAGCTCCCTGCTGTCGTGGTCTTTGCTGGCGGGAAGCAGCCGTCCAAAGTAGTAGCTGAGCTTCTGCCTACACGTTTATGAGTTTTATACACTGTGTTGCCCGCATGCTTCCCCCGTCATCAATTTCCTCAACCCAGCGGCAGCGCTGAGCTCCTGCCAGCCTCTCTTGTTTTAGTTTATGAAATCCAGGATGACGGCTGGATTAACACGCCGCTGCCATCCAGGAATTGAAAAGCCCAAGCTGATGTCATCTGTTATGTTTAGATGGTTGTTTTGCATGAGGGCTGAAAAACTCCACTCACATCCGTCTCAAGGACTCAAGGACATCTGGGAAGGGGGGGAATAAAGAAGGCTGCAATGCCCCTTTCTGCACAGGAATTGCTCTGACACCAGTGCAACACTTAGGATGCAGCTTTGTCCCTGTGTCCCTTAGTCCCGAGGAAACTGATGCAGACACGTATCAAGCCAGAACAAGCGTCTATCAAATAATAGTAAGCATTTGGTATTTCTCCTCAATAAATAACTATGAGATCATTTGGAAGAAGAAATGGTTATATTGTGCTTTTCCAAGACTTAGAAGAAAGAAAATATTTGGATAGAGGCCTCTAAAGACTTCTTCCTTGCTTACACACGCTGGTTATTTCTAAAGCAATTAATGCTGTCTGTGTTCAAGTCTGTGTTTAGCTAGATGTGCAGCAGTTAATCAATACCAAAAACAAAAACAAAACAAAAAGAGGTAAGGTTGTCCTGACATTGTTTCTGAATTACTCAGTTCTGGAAAAACTTATCAGCTGGGCTCTCCTGACCCAAACTCCCTGGGCAGAAGGCTCATCCATCAGAGTCTGTTTGCCCAGTGATTGCATCCATTCAGTCCTTCCGCTCACCTTCTGGCATCTGTCAGAGCTCTTGCTTAAAACCGCCAAACACGGCAGTGAGCCCAAAGAAGCAAGCGAGCCAGCAGGGAAATGGGAACAAGGCATAGGGAAGGGAAAACATTACCCACCAGGAAATAGGGTCTTTATGCTGTGGAGGCAAAGAGCATAGCCCCACCAAGGAAAACAATAGCCCTCTCAAAGTGTTGGCTGGACCAGGACCTTTTGTAGCAAGGTTTATGCACCAGAGAACGCAAGATGTCAGAGAAGGCAGGCAAGGCTTCACACTGAATGTGTTCACTTTTAAGGTCCCCACCCCAATGTCAACCTAGAAATAAAGCCACTGCCACTTGGTAAAGGAAGTGTCCCAGTGAAGTAGGTAACCCCTGCCTGTCACAAAGAGACTCTGGGGCACGCACAGAAACCCTCTTCCTCCTCTGAGAGCACTTGGCTCTGGAAGTCACGTACCCTCTAAAAGATGAGACGTCAAAGCCATTGGGTGCGACACGATGATTAAGTTTTGCCAGTATACATTGGGGGAATGGAGACAGAAGCAGCAAAAATTCAAGGGACTGTGGAACTGGGAAATGAAGGCAAGACTTTTAGCTCCCAAATTTCCCGACATTTTCATGACCTTCTAATTTGCAATACTCTGTGCTCATTTCTCCTGGAGCAAACGTGTATTTTGCAGGTGGGACACTCATTGTTTGTAACAGCAGGAGAGGTCTATTAAGTCCACAGCATGTGCCAAGCACTGCTCTTTGTGTATATACAACTTATATAAAGTAATTCATTATGTACTGACACACAGTAATCCATTTTGACATTTCCATATATGTGATATACTGTGATCAAATTAAACCCCCTGATTGTCCCAATTTTAAACATTTTATTAATAAGTTTATTAATCATTCCTCCACATAACTCCTCCTAAATCCACCCAAAGTAAACCACTGACTCAAATTTGCATTGCCCACACACTTACAGGTATGGGATCATCCCTTGAACCCTAGTCAACCTACCAGAGGTTGTACTCGTAAAGAAAACTAACCCTTCTTCTGACAGAAACCAACAATTGTCAGTAACTCCTCGGCTACTGGAGGGTTAGGGACTCAGGAGCCTGCCTTTCCTCCATACTGGAATACTGACTGGCTTGGTCTCCTGCTGGTTTCCATAGCTGCTGAGCTCAAGTGTAGAGGTCTTGTCATTCTAGAACACATTGTTTCCCTCCAACTCTCCCAGACCCCTGACTGTTACCACCATTCTCTTCCTTCATCCACAGTGGTCTCTGAGTCTTAGAGGGTGGGGTGTGGTATGTGTTTCCTTTTGTGGCTCAACAGACACTCCTTTGTTTCTCCATCATTTGGGAGTTTCTTCATTAACCACTGACCACTACACTTAAAAATCTCCACTGGGGTCTGAGCGGTGCTTGAATCTACTGGTTCTATTACCCTTGCTTATTCCTCCTTCCAGTCTCCCTTTTCCATCTCTGGTCACTTTTATTTGTTTGTTCCCTACATTTCACATATTGGGAAAACATGGACTTGCCTTTGTGCGACTGATTTCTTAAATGTTTTTCTGTTTTCATGAACTCCCATGATTCCCCCACCAAAATACTATGAAGCTACTATAGGTCACCACATATAACCTTCAAAGCAACACAAGGAACTAGGTATTATTATTCATAACTCCATCCTAGATGTAAGAAAACAGGTGCCTGTAGAGGTTAAGTAACTGCTCTAACATCTCAGAGTCATAATTGTTAGGACTCCAGGTCTAAGGCCAATGGGCTCCGTACACTAGAACACAAACTCCAAAATCAAATACATGCAGGTGACAAAAAAGTCACCCAGGTGGATGAAATATGGGGCTGTGCCAGTATAAGTCCCAAAGTACACGTTTTCAACCTGAAGACCATACAAACCATGAACGCGTCCCACGTAAGACAAATGAAAACCAAACAACACCATGTTTGGTAAACGCACCGGATAGAGAAAGTGTACATTAAGGGTACCAAATCCATAACACTGTGCCAGCACAGTCCACAGAAGAGAGCACAAAGCAGGATTGCCAGAGTTCATCCATGAAGAAATTATCTCAAGGCATACATCACACCTAACAAGTTATTTTGGGGGAGAATCGTCATCACTTGCTTCTAAGTCTCCACAAAAACCTCTTTGACATAGCAACCCTGATGGGATTTTTACATTTCGAATTCTTCCAACTTTTCAAGTAGTGAAGTTACCAATAACCCAAAGGCCATGAGGGGATCACAGCATCATAATCAAGAAGCCAACCTCAATCTTCAGGCGGCAGAGAGAGAGGAGGGTAGAGTCAAGGCTGGAGTACCTAAGGTCTGCCTGGCTGACTAGATTTGTACAGGCATCTGGCACATTCTAATTCTGCTCAGCCTGCGCAACCGCTGTCAAGATCGAAAAAGAACAAACCCTCACAGCTCTAAGAAAGCAAGTTCAAATTACAATGAGTCAGTCCAAAGGTGATAGCAAGTGGTCTTCCGGAGGAGAACGGAGAAATGATTCGAGCAGAGAGCTTGTCAGCCCAGTACATCCTGTACACTTTAAGAGTCACTGTGATTCTGTCCTCAAACTCATGGCCCTAACCATGTCGTATGCACTGAAAATTTGTGCATTATTTCCCACATAATGATTGCTTGTAATAAGATAGCAAGCCTTTATTTCTGGATAGACAAAGATCTGGTGGAAAAGGTCCTGTGTGCTTTCCAAACCCTCAAGAGATAGTTCATGGCCAAGTCAATTGTACCATATTAACTGTGCCTTCTGAACAAACCGTCTCTACCAGATAAAGTTGATTTGATTTAAATTACAAAGGCAGACTTAAAGGAGAATGTTGCCAAGGAGAAAGTGGAAGCACTTACAAGAATATTTTAGGTATATTAGAGAGATGATTTTCAGTTTAACTTTCTTTGTGTGCGGCGAGCGGGGCGTCTAAAATCTCCCTGCTTCCTATCATCTCTAACATTCCCCGGAAGTGCCTGGTGCAAGGCCTAGCACGGAGTAGCACCTACTAACTTCATAAACACTGTCTTCTATCACTTTCTTCCTACCAAGAGAATTAAAGTCAGGGTCGGGCTCTTGAGCAGGTTCTTGACGTACAGAACAAAACTGTTCTCCCAGAGGAAGGAGACACAGACTTCAAGAAAGAAGCCATTAATCAGACTAGACTGTTACTCCATCATGTCAGCTCCTATGTAGACACTTCGTCCTCTTGACATGCCAGCCTTGGAAGTGTGCGGAAGCCCCTGCAAGTCACAGGACCCGGATGAAGGACACTTGCAGCAAGCTGAGAACCATGGTGGCCACTGGTTAGCTGTCTAAGTCAAAGACATGGGAACAGTTTCCAGGTGTTCTAGAAACATCTTAGCTACTACCGAACTGTAGGGTCCTAAGAAAGCCACGTGCCAGATGATTTAGACCTCACCTTGATTCCTCAGCAATGAGCCAGAGCTATGACGGTATCATGACCATTATGAACAAGAGTCTAGTTTCAGAGAGTTTGCCTTGGTGTGTGTGTGTGTGTGTGTGTGTGTGTGTGTGTGTGTAATTGCTGTTTGCAGGTGTTTATGTGTGCACAGATGTATGTGTATGCCAGTACAATAGAGGGAAGATAACAACCTTGGTTACCATGCCTCAGGACCGCCCACCTTGTGAGATGGGATCCTTCACTGGCTGGGCTGGGTGGCTAGCCCAGTGAGCCACCAAGGATTTTCTGTCTCCAGTTCTCAATGCTGGGATTATAACCATATACCGAGACTTTGATGTGAGTCTTGGGACCAAACTTGGGTCCTCATGCATATGAGAAAAACACTTTACTAAGATATCTCCCCAGACCAAGATTTGCTTCACTCTTTGGGAAAAAAAAATGAACTTACGTATTGGAGCAAATTTTTGTATTCCAAAAATGATCTCTACAGTTATCTAAGTTTTGATTTTTAAGAGAGGCAATTTATTTCAAGACTAAATGCAATTTTCAGACTAGTCTCAAAAACTCTATCTGCATAGAAAAGTAAGGTGAAGTACAGCATCTTAATTAGGCTTCTTGCAGGAATGCTGGCTCTTAGAGTTGTCC